CGTACCCTGAGTCTACCACAAGCTTACTCTCCTTCTTTTCATCGTCCTTTTGAGTGATGATCTTCGGTTCTTCTTTCACCTTTTCAGAACTATTGCTTCCCTGCCAGTTTCGGTTCTTGTTGATCGGGAAATTTGTGTTAGCAAACTTCTTTGGGTTTGTGACCATCATAGCATATTCTTCGTTGGATAGATCACACTCTGACAAATCAGATTCCTCCTCTTCGTTTGCTACATTCTTGCTTTTAGAAACGAGGGCCAGTGAACCCACATCTGAAACTACCTTCGCTTCCTTTATCACCACGCTTTCATGAGATTTGAGAATACCCATCAGTTTCGCCAGTGAATATGATTTAAATTGCTCATGAGCCTTCAAAGTCGAAACCACTGCCATCCATTCGGGCCTTAATCCTTTCATGAAGGTAACCTTTTGTTCAATCACCTTCCTTTCAATGCCATGCTTCATCATCTTACTGAGCAGATGGTTGAAGTGCTCGAATGTCTGAACAAGCTTCTCTTCAGGTTTTTGTTCGAAAGCACCAAACTCAGAGAGCCAAAGGGTCTGGATCGAGTGCTCTAGATCTTCATCGGTTGAGTATAATTCTTTCAACCTATCCCATATTTCTTTAGCTGTTGTGCATGAGCTCACCAGACGAAAAGTATCGAATTGCAATGCGAATCGGATCATCCTCATGGCTTTAACGTTGCATAACACCTTGTCTTTTTCGTCTTGAGGCATCTTATCTACGTCCGCCAGGAGTTGGTTATACTCTTTTTGAGTCTTGACTGTTCGGTTTGTTCTAGAGTGAACAAACGGACCCAATGTTATTGCTTCCCAGATCAAGTAGCCATTGTCTTCAGATCCAACTACATAGTCTTCGAAGTGATGCGCCCAAACTTCATAATCTTGAGTATAGAGAATGGGAATCCTTGTAGTTGATCCTATGTTGTTGGAGATGTTGATTGGATTGATTTTCGAGTCATCGTGAGACATGATGAACTATTTCTGTTAGAATCAGACTTGTAAAGTTGAACTTAGGGTTTTATCAAACACAAGAGATGTCGTCGACAAGAAGAGGACAGCTTCTATATATTGATAAAAGCGGAAACCCTAAAGGATTCTTCAAACAGAAGAGATGCATATGTATTACACAGTCTCCTGCTCTGATACCAATTGATGAGAATATTACGCTAAAGATCGATAGATTCCAAGCAGAAAAACAATAATAATCAAGTAAAGAACATAGGAATGGATCAAATGTTGTCGAATGATTAATAACTCACACCTCAGAAGAGCTCAATGAAGAACTTCGACTGTAGAGGTGTGCTAGGGTTACAATGCAAAGTAATTAATGAGATCGATGACCTTAAAGCAATACATGCATGCAATATATATATGCTAACCCTAATGATTATCCACGTTTGGACAGGCCCAAACCGGGTAAACTAAATGGACTAATGAACCGAGCCCACGACGCAACACTTAGACCCAACACATGTTCATGACCAACGGGCCTTAAGAGCCCATTTAAGTGTATATTTAGCCCAATATTTTCCATGTCATGTTTATTGGGCCATGCGACCCATTTACATGTTAATTTGGGCCTGAATTATGGGTCACATGTTGTTGGGCCTTCGTGGTCCATTTACATGCCTATTGGGCCCAAATTACCCACTTACATGTTATTGGGCCTTTGTGATCCACTTACATGCTAATTGGGCTTGGACTGAAATTCACATGCTTGGTAGACTATAACCATGCCTTTACATAACTATTAAACTTCATATACTTATATATGTACCTTTGGATTGATAATATACAACATACACGTAAAACATTAACCATAGTACGAAAGGTTGAGAATCTAGTGAGACGTGTCGGTTGGCACCTTTGAGTGTACAATCGTAGCTTGTAGTTATAATCAGAGTCTCCTGGAGGGAGAGCGAGAGTTTGTGTATAGATCTATACGGGGTGACCCCCCACGCCTTAGCTGCTCGCTACAGCTAGACTAGGCCAGTCTAGGGCGACAAAACCTTGAGCAAATACCAACATTTCGAAAAATGTTAAGACAAGCAACCTAGTCACTATCATGTATGATTATAACGGCTCATATAGAGATTCACTACCAAATTTAACATTTCGAAGATTAACCCTTCGATTATGTTAACACAAAACAACTTATTAAACGATACAAGAACCTCGAAATTATAACAAATCAGAAAATATCGGATTTTCTGGGGAAATACAATTGTTCAATTATCACTTACTTACAATACAAAGAAATCTGAACTACTTTTATATATGTCACTACTGCGAAATTCACACATGCATTTATACTTGATTTTCACATCATTTTCAAACATTTTTATAGAAAATATCGGATTTTTTGGGTTTTTACGAAAGATACAAAGACTTTTACTCAACCATACTTATGAACTCACCAACATTATATATGTTGACCGTTTTCAAAATAACTTGTATTCTCAGGTAATCGTTAAGCAGGAAGAATTTCAAGTATGTATGGAATTATTTTGTGTAACATTATTCATCGCACAATTAATACTTTGAATTTATGTAATGTATAACAATGTACCTGATGTGAACAATGCTGGTTGTTATATGAAATGTTGGTGATGAATGTGTTATGTTTCATGTGTATTCATTGTAATGATAATTCAATTGTTAGTCACACGAGCCCTCGGACGTTTCCTCTGTCTGGTTCGGGGGTGTAACACGTTGTGTAGCCCCCTCATTTGCGACACTTCAGCTGACACCATCAAGCATCTCCCAGCAAACTCAGCACTCTCACCTTTCGCCACAAACGCCTTGCCATGTGTGGGTTTACGTACTTCTTCGTCTTCAGAGTCTATAGACCAGACCTCCACACCACCGAATCATTCACAACGTTCTCCTGCACAATCAAAGCATTCATCGAACTGTTAGACGCTTTCTTTTTCTTTATCTCCTCCAGCTTACGCATATAGTATGCTTCATCATCTTCACCCTCCTTCTTCTCCGATAGCTTTCTCAGCATACAATATTTGGCAAAGTGGTTTTTGCCATGGCAGAAGTTGCAATCGTATCTGGAGTCTCCTACCAGTTTGCTCTCCTTCTACTCTTCTTCTTTCTGAGGAGTATTTTTGTTCTCCTCTTTCGTTCGGAGCTATAGCTTCCCTACCAGTTTCGGTTCTTGGCAATAGGAAACTTTTTGCGAGCAAACCGCTTCGGGTTGGAAACCTTCATAGCATACTCTTTGTTTTTCAGATCGCATTCTAACAATTCAGACTCTTCTTCATCTTCTGCCACATTCTTCGCCTTAGAGAGAAGGGCCAAGGATCCCATACCAGACACCACTTTCGCTTCTTTTTTCACAACACTTTCATGTGACTTTAGAATACCCACCATCTTCGCCAATGAATAGGTTTTAAACTTCTCATGAGCCTTCACAGTTGATACCACATCCATCCATTCGGGTCTTAAACCATTCATAAAGGTGACCTTCTGTTCGATCACTTCTCTTCCAATACCGTGCTTGATCATCTTGCTCAAGAGATGGTTGAAACGATCGAATGCTTGAATAAGTTTTTCATCTGGATTTTGTTGGAAAGCACCGAACTCAAAGAGCAATAGAGTCTGAATAGAATGCTTTAGGTCTTCATCAGTGGAATACAACTCTTTAAGTCTATCCCAGATCTCTTTTGCTGTGGTACATGGGCTAACCAAACAAAAGGTATCCGACTGTAAAGCGAATTGGATCATTCTCATGGCTTTAACGTTACACAACAACTTATCCTTTTCATCTTGAGGAATCTTCTCCACATCAGTTAGGAGTTTGTTGTACTCCTTTTGAGTTTTGATAGTTCTGTTTGTGCCAGAATGAACAAAAGGACCCAATGTTATTGCTTCCCAGATAAGATAGCCATTGTCTTCTGAGCCAACAATGTAGTCCTCAAAGTGATGCGTCCAAACCTCATAATCCTGAGTGTATAGAATCGGGACTCTGGTTGTAGATCCAATGCTGTTAGAGATATTGATCGGATTGGTTTGTGAATCTTTGTGAGACATGATGAACTTTTTCAGATATCTGCTAAGAATCAGACTTGTAAAGATCGAATAGGGTAATATCGAGATCTAAGAACAACGTCAATGAAGGAATGACGGCTAAACAGATCCAATAAGAGCGGAAACCCTAAGAAAATTCTTCAAACAGAAGAGTTGCGTATGATTTACACAGCCTCCTGCTCTGATACCAATTGATGAGAATTAAGTTCTCTTAGATCGCTAGATTCAAACAGATATCAATGAATTAATAACAAATAACAGGAAACAATGAACACCACGATGAATCAAACGAATGTCGAATGATTAATATGCTCCACCTCAGAAGAACTCAATACGAATTGCTATTGTAGAGGGTGTGCTAGGGTTACAATACTTGTTCAAGAAGAATAATCAAAAGCGTGACAAATCTGATGCATGCATGCACCATAAATACTAAACCCTAAAACAAAACAAACGGTTGGACATGCCCAAACCGTGTATACAATGGACCGAACTTAACTAAGCCCAATGGCGCAACACATATACCCAACAATAATCATTCATTTTCTTAATAAATTTTATATCAACATCAACAATTAACTAGAAATTCATATTTACCTAAGAAAATATATCATTCCAACATGTCCACCATGTCTGCAAGCATTATCCAAAATAAAAGCATCATAAACACCATATGTGTTCAACTAGATAGAAGTCTTCAATAGCAGCTAAGCATTTATAAAAATAAAAACAGTAGATATCTATTTTTTAGTCTTCACCAATCAACTGAAACCTTTCCTCATAGTTCTGTATTCCATGATTCACAACTTGTTTTTGTTCTTCTGTTGTCAGCTTTTCAAACTCAATATCTTCTTCTATTATCTTGTTGCTGTGGATATTGATATCATTCACCAAGATCTTTTGTAACATATTTTGATCGAAGCTTTGTCAATTGGGTTTTCTATTGCTTTTGATCTTTTTTAATCTCAGAATCCCAGTTATTTGGCCATTGTCCCTTGAAAGTTTCCATATGTCTCATCAACATAACTCCACTGTTGTTCACGTTGTTTTCTGTCAACCACTTCAGTTTAAAAATCGCAACTTCCATCTTTAGTAAATCGTCTGCTTTTGGGTGTTTTTTATCAATCAAGTACGATATCATCAAATTGAACTGTATTCAAAAAAAATTATCAGTAAGGATAATAAGATATAAAATTCACAGTTTAAGCATTAATAAAAAAACATTTGCTTTTTTTTGCTAAGTTATTAATTAATACTCACCAAATAATATGGCAACATTCCATAAGTATGCACAATATCTTTTGTGGTTTTTTCATTGTCAATCAGATGTACACTACATTTTTGCAAATTGAAACAAATGATGTAGTAGTGCTTTCTGTGCAGTATTGGGAAGAATATATGTATTAATAATATAGTTGAAATTGTTAATACTTTAATATAAATATTTATATATATACAATATAATTATAATAAAAAGGAATAAATAGTTTTTTCTTACAATTCCAACTTTTTTAAAATCCTTTAGATGTGGGTAGTTCTTCATTGCTTCATTCAGTTTTCCTTCAAAATTTTTCCAGTCTCTTATCATATGTTGTATCTCTATCCAACATTTCATTGCTCTAGGAAAAAATGAAAATGTTATTTTATTAAATTATCATTAGTTATTTTATATCAATATTAAAACTCTATACTTATATTTTAAAATATTTCTTACCAGCATTCATGTTGGGAAGTAGAAGCATAATGGTGTGGTATTTGCTTTACACTTCTCTTCATCATTCAATAACATCGACCAACAGTCGATTACTTTTGGTGGATCCATGCACTTGATATTAATGTTTCAAAAAATATCATTTCCACTTTATGCCCATGCTTTGTTTCAAATATTATTTCCCTGTTTGATTAATATAAAATTATTAAATTTAATTCTATTAAGTTATCGATATTAAGTTGTGAATACTGATATTAGTGTTTGTTTTTATCGAAAAGAAAATAAAAATAGTTAAGAAAATTGTTTTTCTATTAATTTCATTCATATTTACATTTTATTCACAACTTAATACAATTAAATTTAATTAAGTTTTATTTAAATATTATTTATATTAAAACCATTCACTTACTTGTGATCCTTTTGTAGTGAGAATATGGATTTGAAATCCTTATCTCAACAGCTTCTAATTTTTTTCTCACTTCAACTGTCCGACTCATGTAAGGTGATTGGTAAGGCTCTGTTTTAGTTGTTGTCCTCTTTGATCTTTTATAAACTTCTTGTTCTTTTCCTTTTCCTTGATCATTCTTTTCTTCAAGTATGTTTTTTTCATTTCCCTTTCCTTCTATGTTGTTTGTTGTTCCTGTAAGATGTATTGCATAGTAGTCATTTTTATTAAAAATTTAAGTTTATTGTTAAGTTATATTTTTGTTTTTCATATTACCTTCTTCTTGAGATTCATTGGTAAGAAAATTCTTTTGTTCAGCCTCCATATTTGGTGTGTTTGGCATTTTATCTTCAAAGTTGGTTTATCGTATTCTGTTTCTGTTGTAGCTTCTTCTTCACCTTTTTCTGTTTCTAAGTGATGTTCAAACTCTTTTTAACCTGTCTCATTTTCATTTTCTTTTTCTCTTGTTCTTGATGATTCGCCAATGTTTTTTGTTAAACACTTTTTCAATGTTCACAAACCTTTCAAACCATCCACATAGTTCTCTATCATCTGGATATTTTTGAAGTGCATGCTCCAGTATTTTTTGAATTCTGTTTCTACACTCCAAAATGGTTTTAAACTCACTTTCTATCAAAAGACAATAGTTCTGCAATAAGTATTAAATTATTGTTAGTTTATAACATTTTTATAAAAATCAATTCACAACTTAATATTCAGTTCACAGCTTAATAGAGTAAGTTCCATTATTACCTCTGCACCAATGTCATCATTTTCTTCTGTATCTGCATCTTTTTCAACTTGTTTTCCTTTTCCTTTTCTTTAAAGAAGTCAACATCTTCTTCATCTTTTTGTTGTATCAAATCAATATCTTCAACCAATGTGACCAATCCTAACTGACCTTGAGCTTTTTCAATGTTTTGCCTTGATTTAATTTTCTCGTAATTCCAGTAGCATATTGGTCTTATTTTTCGGTTGACATATTGGTTTTCACAATCAGTTGAATGTAGATGGAGAAGCTGTGAATTATTTTGTAAAAAATTAAAATGTTATTTATTTTAATCACTTTGATGATATCCAATGCAATTTAATTTAAATTTTACTTACAAGCAAGAATGGAAGTGGCCCAGCATAGTAGATGCCTTTGTTTCTTGGTTTCCATGAAGTTCTACTATGTGGCAATGCATCACTAAGATATCTGCTATCTTCATTGTAATGCTTGTTTTTATACGTCCACAAGATTTTTTCTCTATCAATGTATTCACAAACAATGTGATGAAATTTAACACAAACATTTCATCTGCAACTTTCGAGGCTTCTATAAGTTCACAAAGAGTTTGTTGTGATTTTCTTAGATCATGATGTTCTTGTTTCCATTGGACAATAATCACATTGTCTTCCTCACACTCATTTACAGTAGATAAATCTATTCTTGTTTTTGGTATTCCAAGGATCTGATGAATTTTTTCTTCATTTGTTATCAGTTGCCTGTCCCCTAAATCAATGCAATTTATGTGGTATCTTTTTCTGTTTTATCTTCTTCCTTTGTGCTTGTGTTTCTTTTCCTTGTAAATTTTTTAACTATAAAATATATTAAAATTTTAGTAATATTTAATAAGATATTTTATGAATAAATATTTTTTTATGAATTTTGTTATACCTTGTATTTCTTCATCTTTCTTGATAGATGTTTCATACCTTGTTCTTCTTCTTTATATTTGCATCTGTTTTCCACTCTTCTTTCTTGCTATCTGTTTTCTTTTCCTTGTTGGTTTTTTTGCGTGAATTTTGTCGTTGTTTTCGTCTTCTTCTTCTTTGTTTTCCACAACAACCAATGCCATTGCCATGTCCTTATCACTGTCGGATGATCCATTGTCCGATTCTGTAATTTCTATATATGTATAATTGAAATAAATTTAAAAGAATTTTAAGTTTATTCACAGTTTAAGAGGTTATTAAAAAAAAGTAACATTTTTTAATAGAATGTTTAAACTGTGAATAAACATATGAATGTATGTACATATGCACATACCTACATTTAAACTGTGAATATACATATATATGTATGTACATAAATTTAGATTGTAAATATACATATGTATATATGTACATAAATTTAGATTATGAATATAGATAGTGCATACATATACATATGTACATATGTATATATGTAGATACATTATACATACATATGCATGTAGATATGTACATACGTATGTATATATATTGTCACACCCCCAAACCAAGGATGGCGGAAACGTCCGGGGGTGGAGGACTTCATGTATAGTATCACAGCAACGAGTATAATAGTGCTCAAAGTAAATACAACCATCATAAATATAATTGACAAAGTTACACCAAAGTATATGTTTACATGATTCAAATCAATTACATTATGATGACAAAATGAACTGTTTGACGATTTATCGTCCCATCCTCAAAATGTTGTTGGTCCTGTTTCACTGATTTCCTGAGAATACAAGTAGTTTTGAAAAAGTGTCAACAATTAAGTTGGTGAGTTCATAAGAGTTTTGTTTGAGGAAGAAACCGTTTTCCTTGTAAAAGCGATAGAGTATGATTTCCAGAAAATCCAATATTTTCTTAGTTAAGTGCGGAATGAATGCTCCTATGTTATGCAATAATGAACCCTAGAAGGACCCATAGATTCCTTCTATAATCGCCCAGCGTATATAAGTTATATAAAAGTTAAATTAAATAAACCGTTGAATATAATGGGTCTGCCCTAGGTCCACAACCAGACAAGGAACAGGAGATAAGGCGGGCCCACCAATTCTAAGTCGATTGTGACTAAATTCTTATATAACTCTATCATATACACTTAGCAATTATAGCTGAAGTGTATATGATAGAGTTATATAATAATTTAGTCACAATCGACTTAGAATTGGTGGGCCCGCCTTATCTCATGTTCCTTGTCTGGTTGTGGACCTAGGGCAGACCCATTATATTCAACGGTTTATTTAATTTAACTTTTATATAACTTATATATGTTGGGCGATTATAGAAGGAATCTATGGGTCCTTCTACAGTTCATTATCGCATAACATAGGAGCATTCATTCCACACTTAACTAAGAAAATATTGGATTTTCTGGAAATCATACTCTATCGCTTTTACAAGGAAAACGGTTTCTTCCTCAAACAAAACTCTTATGAACTCACCAACTTAATTGTTGACACTTTTTCAAAACTACTTGTATTCTCAGGAAATCAGTGAAACAGGAAAACCAACAACATTTTGAGGATGGGACGATAAATCGTCAAACAGTTCATTTTGTCATCATAATGTAATTGATTTGAATCATGTAAACATATACTTTGGTGTAACTTTTTCAATTATATTTATGATGGTTGTATTTACTTTGAGCACTATTATACTTGTTGTTGTGATACTATACATGAAGTCCTCCACCCCCGGACGTTTCCGCCATCCTTGGTTTGGGGGTGTGACATATATATACATATGTACATATGTATGTACATACATTTGTACATACATACATATATAAATATACATATGTGTGTATATATAGATACATATGTACATACAATTAAACTGTGAATATAGTTATGTATGTATGTATGTATGTATATACATACATAAATATGTATATAGATACATACATATGTATAAAGTCAAATACTAATATGACTCATGATTCATATTTATCTTTCTCTAATATATTTAAATAACTTATAATTTTTATGTTCACATTTTAAAAAAACATATATACACATTTTCATTCTCTAAAATATCAAAGTAACATTTACATTTTTATATTCACGGTTTAATTAAATTATATATATTCAACCTAATAGTATCATCTTAAAATATATTAGAATCATATATAACATTTAACATCAAACCTGTAATATATATATATATATATATATATATATATATATATATATATATATATATATATATATATATATATATATAATATATATATTTGTAATAATTTAACATTTTCATTTGTAATAAATCAAATATGTGTTTGTAATGATATGTTCACGGTTTAACATATCATATATGTACAAAATAACATAGATTAAGATGAAGTTTGTTTTAAATGTTTTTGTAACAGTGCGTTTTATATTTATTTAAACATTATAAAACACAATGCATGTTTCGTTAAACACTGTAATAAGTTTCGAAATAAAATACCTTGTGTTACTTCGTTTGTTTTGACTTTAACCTCCTTGTAGGTTTTGCTTTTGAAGAAATGCTTTCGGAAGCACTTTGTTGTGAGTTTGTTGTCGAAATCTTCGATTTGATACTTGAAACTTTTTGTGCTTCTAGTTGTTGTTTCTCCAGGGTTTTCTTCTCTTTTTCTTCTTCGGATACTGTTTTTTCTGAAAATTGTGTAGTTGATTTAGTTCATTTAGATTGTGAAGACATTTTTTGCTTGGTTTTTGAAGAATCGGTCGATATTGTTTTGATTGAGTGTTTGAAATTAACGTTTTTGAATGTGGGTTTTTTTGAAAAAGGGAAATGAAGACTGTGATTAGAAATGAATGAAACAAGTCGGTTTTTGACGAGAAGTTCTTTATTATTACGAAATTGCCACCGCCTTTTTCTCTTTTTTTAGTATTACATAAATAGCCCCTGTTCTATTTCAAATATATCAATTATATTATATAAATATAGCTTTTAAAGGGTAGTAGCTTTTAATGAGAGTTTTTTGTTATTTGTTATTTACCCAAAATCGGTAAAACCCTAATAACTTTGTTTTATTTACAAAAGTGGCACATGTCATTTATTAATATAATAATTTGGATTCCTTTTGTTTTAACATAACTACAATATTGACATTTTTGTACTTTAACAATTATTTAGCTTAACGTTTATTATTTCTTCAACTTTGGTCTTTGTAAATTTTTTGCCATTTTTGAATTTTTCCTAATTATATCATTTGAATTATCTTTTCCTAATTATGCACATTTTCATTCTCTAAAATATCAAAATAAAATTTATATATGATGTACGAGATTACAGTAAAAATAATAGTATATACATTGTTCATTAAAATTATTTTAAATTCTTTAACATATATTGGAAAAAAAATCACATTTTAAATAAAAGATGGATTGTACATTCGTTTATACAAATTTTATTTTTTTATATAAAATATTGATATGTCATTATAAATTGTTAACATTCATAGTTATATAATGTTGAAATTCTCATATATCTAAACAGTAGATTCATCAGTACCCATAATAAAAAAAAGTAGCATTTTTGTCCAGCAAAAAAAATACAGAAAAAAAAATCAAATTGTTCTCAAAATAAAAGCTACATAAATCATTGTTGCCTTGTTTGCTCCTTTTTTTTTTAAATTTCTAAACATCTTCCATGAGCTTAAATCTTTCTTTATACTTTTGTATTGTATTCTTCATCGATGTTTTTTTCTCTTCTTCTGTTTTTTTTATCAAATTGCATTCCTTCATCAACTATTTTTTTCTATTTAAGTTGATGTCATTCAGTAGCAGTTTTGTGAGATACTTTAATCTTAGTTTAGTGAATTTTTCTTTCTGTTCCTTTTGGCCCTTCTCAATGTCACAATCTCATTTGCTTTGAACCTGTCCTTGAAAACATTCCATATGTCTCATTAACGCCACTACATTTTCCTCAAAATTGTTTTTTAACCACCAATTGATTTAAATAATGAAATTTCTTTAGTAAGCAAAATGAAGTGCTTTTTCGAATCCTCTTTCCATCATAAAATTTGCCATCAATGCTACCTGTATTACAAAGAAAATAAATTCAGTTATTTTGATAATTTATCAAAATTCACAGTTTAATTTCAAATAAATCTAAAATAGTAATTCTTACCAAAGATTGTGGTAATAGCCCATATTCAACATTAACATTAGGGATGTCAACGGGGGCAAACGGGACGGGGAGTGCATCCCCCGCCTCCGCCCCTGAAATTTCCCCGTTCCCCTGTCCCACCGCCCCCAAAATGTTCAGCCTTCCTACCCCCACCCCCACCCCCGAATCCCCTTTATTACCCCTGCCCCCATTCCCCCGCCCCCCGATTGATTTTGGATTGCCTTTTTTGGGCTAAAAGAAGTTATTATTTAGGCTAAAAGAAACTATTTTTTAGGTAACAAATAACAATTTATAGCAGAATTTTACATGTTAAAAATAAAAAAGTTATAGCATCTTAAAAATATTATACTAACAATTTAAAAACATGTTTTTTTGATGAGTTTTGGAAGCTCAAAATCATGTTATTGTTTATTATATTTATATAATTAATATATGTAAATATATGTATAATTTATTAACGGGGTCCCCATGGGGGTTTCGGGACGGGATTGCCTACCCCCGCCCTCGCCCCCGAAATTAAAACGGAGGATAACATTGCCCCCGCCCCTGTCCCCGCCCCCGGTTTTTTTAAAAAAATTCCCCCAAACGGGACGGGGCCCACAAGGGAGCGGGGTCCCACGGCACTTTTTGACATCCCTAATTAACATTCGACATTCCTTTATAACTATCAATCAAAACTAATGATATCTTTTTGAGATTTATACATAACAAATAGTAATGCATTTTCTTCTTGATCGGAAAGAATAGTTGCATTTATATTAAATTGTAAACTGGCAGTATATATATATATATATATATATATATATATATATATATATATATATATATATATATATATATATATATATATAATAAAATATAAAAGACTGTTGTAACTTACAAATCCTAGTTTATCGAAATCATGTGCATATGGATGGAATTTCATTACTTCTATTGCTTTTTGATCAAACATTTTACATCTATCATCCATTGGTATCTCCTCATTTGTTATCTCTTCAGTCTAATTACATATATTAAATATTTATTTTGTTAGAATTTTGTTACTCTATTAACATATATATATATATATATATATATATATATATATATATATATATATATATATATATATGTTACTTACTATGATTCCTGTTGGAAAATAGAATCTTAATGGAGATCCCCTTTGTTTTCTGCTCTCCTCATCATTTAACCTGGGACTAATGTTTCAAAGAAAATTCTTTCTACTGCATCCCCATTTCTTGTTCTGAATATGATTTCCCTGTTAATATATGTTAAGTTGTGAATAATCTATAAAAAATTAATTTTTGTTTCATAAATTAACTTTTTATTAAAAATATTTACTTACTTGTGTTCCTTTGCATTGAAAATATTGAGTTTGCAATTAGTATCTCTTCATGAAACACCACGTCTTTTGCTTCCACTGTTCGATCATTGTAATGAGTCAAGTAACTTTCTTTGTAATGATCTCTCCTTTTTCTTTTCTGATCCTTTTTTCTTCATGTTCCTCTTCAATAAAAATTTCTTTTCCTTTCCCTTTATTTCCTCCTCCTTTTTTGTTTGAACTTGTTCTTCATCTTTTTTTTTGTTCTCTGTTTTTCTGTTCTTCATCTTTGCTTGATCTTGTAGCAGACTTTGGAGAGTTTACATCATCTTTGATATATGGGGTTAGACCAAGTGAAAAAGATGGTTGAGAAGATGGTTCTTGAATGGATGGTGTGCAAGTTATTTCATCTTGTTTTTGTTTTGGACTTGTAGTTAAAGTATTTTTGTTTAAGCTTTCTTCAACAACTTTGTCAACCAAAGCATAAATTGTTGGTGACTCTAATGTTGGTGTGAAAGCTGATGATTTTGGAATAGATTGAGAATCAATAAGTGATGGTGTTTTTTAAGTTGTATCGACTCTGTCTCCTTCTTCAGTTTCTTCCTGTATGGCTGTTGTTTGATCCATAACCATTTCTTGATGTTGTTCTGCATCCATTGTTTTTTCAATTTTTTCTTTTCCTTTCCTTTTATTTCCTCATTTTGCTTCTTTTTGAGTTTCTTGCTGTGTATTTGTTGTTTGGTCCACAACCATTTCTTCAGTTTCTTCTGCATTCACTGTGTTTTCAAATTCAGTGTGTTGTACTTGATTCTCTTTCGGTGTATACAAAACTATTGCTTTTTGAAATACAATATCGTTTTTCAGATTTTCATCTTCTTATTCTTCTATTTCCTTTTCAACTTGAACTTCATTTTCATTCACTTTTGATGTTTCGCCAATATGCTTCTTGAATAAGCTCTCATATTTCACAAACCATCTTTTAATTGTTATGTCATCCGCATTGTTTTTTTGCCTTCACTAATGTCTCTTCCATTCTCTTTTTGTAAGCTAATGCCATTTTGTAATCTTTTTCTATCATCAAGCAAAATCCCTGTAGTGTATGTTTTTTGTTAGTTTATAATAAACAAGATTTCAATAAAACAAACTAATAATGTGTTATATTTTATTTTATGAAATTCACAACTAATTCATAGTTTAATTAAACATGTGTTATGTTTTATATTCACATATTAAAAATCTATTCATAGTTTAGTAATAGTAATATCAACAATGAATTCATTTTTAATTCTTAAATTAACAACTAAATCATTACTTTGTGTATTCATATAGTAACAATAATTTCATAGTATAATGATTAATTTTCTATTTTATTATTTTTAAACTTTTTCTATCATCAAGCAAAATCCTTGTGGTGTATGTATTTTGTTATTTCATAATAAACAAGGTTACAATAAAACAAAGTAATATTTTATTTTATTATATTCACAACTTAACAGCTAATTCACAGTTTAATTAATCATGTGTTATGTTTTTATATCTAAATGTTAAAATTCTATTCATGGTTTATTAATATTAATTTCAACAATCAATTCATTTTCAATACTTAAATTCACAACTTAATCATTACTTTTTGTATTCATATAGTAAGAATATTTTCATAGTATCATGATTAGTGTTTTTATATGAAATTTATATAATTTTTGTATTTCATTATTCAAGATTTAGTTATAAGTTGTATTACATCTGCAGCAATATCTTCATTGTCATCTGAATCTGAAAATTCATCTTCATTCTTTTCATTTTCTTCCTCATCCAAATCAACATATTCTTCTTCATCATCTTCAATCATCTCCATATTCTCCAAAATTTGTACCATTCCAAACTTTCCATTTGCAATTTCATTTGTTTGTCTTATTTTCAGTCTCCCATAGTTCTAGAAGTGAAGTTGTCTTATTCTTCTGTTCATGAACTGTTGTTGAACACATTGAGTTCTATGCACATACAGAAGTTGTAAGATACATGAAAACAACATAAGTTTTATTAACATTAGTATTAAATATTTTTATTTTAGGGAGAATTTCGTATATACCCTTCTTAAACATCGAAATATCATATTTGTCCAACCTAATTTTGAAATATCATATTTACCCTTCACAAGTTTTCAAAATATCAATTTTGTCCAAATCTTTATTTTGAACATTTTTAAATATTTTATATCCACTTTAAATTCTTATTTTTTTTAATTGACTATTATACCCTTTTATAAATATCAATTGAAAACATCATAAATACATTTCATGATAATGTATAATTGAGAGTTACGTTTAATCGGTTGAGCCTCCAATCTTTGGGAGACGAAGGCATGTTAAAAGACAAATCAGTTTCATCAAGTTTGACTAGCGGCACCTTCAATTTCTAAGCAATTAACACAATCTTCATGGCCGAACTCTTGTAACGAGAATCCGATATGATTGAAAAGTTATTTTCTCAAGTAACTTAAATTAATATACTATATACATACAATTCAGTAAGTGTAATAGGAAGAACTAAAAGTCTAGAGCACAAAGTCAAATCAATGACATTAAGATTTCTAAGATGATTATAAGTAGGCGTGGACAACAGCAGCCACAAGAACCCTATTTTGAAACATGTCGTTTGTAATTGTGATATAGAAGACGATTTTAACGATATAGGATTAGGGACAATATTGACATTTTAACTTTTTTTTATAATTATTATGATTTTAAATTATTTAAAATTGTTATAAAATATTAAAATTAAACATTTGGGTAAATTTGATATTTTAAAAGCTTATGAAGGGTAAATATGATATTTCAAAATTAGGCCGGACAAATACGATATTTTGATATTTAAAAATGGCATATACAAAATTTTCCCTTTATTTATGAGAAATTAAATTATTTTAAATTATTCTTACAATTAGAAATGGTAATGGTCCGACATAGTAGTTGTTTTTACAATTTGGCTTCCAAATTTTTTTACTTTCAACCAATGTGTGATTGATATACTTGCACTAATTGATATTTGCTTTATTCTCAACTTTAATCAACTTCAGCAAAGATCTTGTTTCTATGGCTCCATATGTTGTTTTCTCTATGATTGAGTTGACAAAAGTACAATGAAGTTCAGCACAAACATCTCATCTGCAATTTGCGATTCTTCTATAAGATCTACCAGTGCTTGAGCAGACTTTGTTATTTTTGGATGTTGTTCTTTCCATTTAATCAATGTGATGTTATCTTGTTCACAGTCATCACCTTTTTCAAGATCCATGCCTTCATTTTTTAACCCAAGAATTTCTCCTATTGTTTCTTCTGTTATTGTTATTCTTCCATGTCCTAAATCAATGGAGTTTGTTGTATGGTCGTAGCTAAACACAGAAAAGAAGCCTATTTTTGAAGGAATCACATCCAATGTCATCTTTAAGACTGATCTTAAACCTAAGCTTTCTACACAGTCTCTTTGTTCACTGCTCAATATCTTTACAGCTTTCCATAAGCTTTGTGTTGCAACCCTTGTTCTTAATGGTTGAAACTTCTCATCATCTTCTCCATGCTCTGTTATAGCTTTTTGTTTTTGTTTTTTATTGTTTGCTTTTCTTTCCGTTTCTTTCCTTTTTTCTTTATAAAAAATTTCATTATGTAATGATAAGGAACTATTATATGAGAAATTAAATAAGTACTCAGTTATTTATATATAGTTGTAAAATGTACCTTGAAGTTCTTGTTCATTTTCCTTTTTCTTCATTTTTCTATTTTTTCTTCTTGTCAACAACTTTATATTCTTCAACATATATCATTTTTAAAAGAAAATCACTTGTACATAAACATGTTATTTATATTTATATATTTTTTAAAAACTATATTTTGTTTATATTTTTTATACGTTTTTGTTTTGTTGCTGTATTTTTCTTTTTTGAAACTGATTTGTTTTTCTTTTGTTCAATACCTGAATAGTGTAAAATTTACAACTTAAGAGATACTTCACAGTTTAATTAATAAAATATAATTAAGAAACTTAAATTCTTTTCATTAATGTATGATACATTTATCATTTGATTGTTTTGGTTCTTGTATTTGAAGAGCTCTTGTTGTTTGTTTCCTTATCAATGCTTTTGTCATAACTCTTTTTTTTCTTTCTTTAGATTCACTTTCTTTATCTTCTTTTCTTTTGTTTTCACCTGTACATTTTAACATTAAATCATGTGTTAGTTAATGTATATTATATATTTAAAACTTAATATTAAATACATGATATTTTATATACACTAAAGTACATTCACAATTTAAAATTTCAATAAATTCACAGTTTAATTTTTCTTTTTAAAATACATTTGTTTGTTCTATTGTCATCACTTCATATGTGATACATACATAAAGTTAAAATTGTAATTTTAGATTTTATAATCTTAACATTTATCATTTATCATATATCACAGTTTAAAAGATTATATATATTTAATATTCAATAATCTCAGTTTTAAATGATTATCATCATTCACAGTTGAAAATCATTATTTTAAATTTATAAATCTATAAAATCATTAATAAATATTCACATTATAAATTTCAACATTCATAGTTAAAATCATTATTACGATGTCAACTTAAAACTGTTTTTATATTCAAATCTATAAAATCTTCTATTCACAGTTTAAGAGGGGCATGCTTTTTAAAAAAAAAATTATGTTATAAGTAAATACAAAGATTTTACAATGAAATCATCTAATATTTGTTCATTTTGCAAGTTTTTTGAATTTATTACGTTTTATATTGTATTTAGGGTTTTACCTTTTTTGATTAGTGTTGTTTTGTTTGTAGCTTGAGATTCTTCTGTTGAAATCATCATCTTCGATGTTTGTTCTTTTTTTTGTCGTAGTTTTGATCGGTGTGAATTGAGTTTTTTCAGCTGAAATGTTCTCGCTCGATTTTTTTCCAGTGAATTGAATAACGATCACCGATCATTCTTCTGTTGAAATCATCATCTTCTATTGTTTTTGAATTTTGTGTGAATGATCGGTGATCGTTTTGCAGTGAATTGAATTAGGGGTTTTTGTTGTTTTGGAAAAGTCTTGAATTGCATTAGGGTTTTGAATTGTTCTGGCAAATTAATGAATCGGGTAATATGTTTTGTATAATTACGAAATTGCCACCGTGTTTTTTTTGTCAATCAACATTTAAATTTTTATTTCTTTTTCATATAGACTAAAGCTATATTAACAAACCTCGATAGTTTGGTCATTTTTCCACTTAATATACAACTAAAACTATATTAACAAACATCGAAAATTTGTATAGTTGAACCGACAACTTAAGACAACACAACGTGAAAGAATGAATAGAATATGTTATGTATTAGTGTATTTTTTTTATTTGGTAAGAGTTTAGTAAGTTTTTTTTTCTAAGTTTAATATTTATTTTATATGCAAAGTTTTATTCGGCTTAACCAGTAAACCAAACCAAATAAACCGTACCCGAATAAACCAAAATCGATTTAACCGAACCTTATTTGGTTTTGGTTTTTCTTAGTTTTAAGATTTAAAAGAAGCGGAAAAAACCGAACCGATTAAACAGAAAAAACCGACCAAATAACACCCCAAGTAAGGGTATCAGGTTCGGTTCTCGACCCTCCAAATCTATCACTTTCAATTATCATTTATCTTGGTTCAAAACCGGTTTGGGAACCAAACACATAAATATACAACATACTTTATTTGATGTGTTGCATCATGTGGTATATTTATTTTTTATATTAATAGTTGTACAAACGTGTTTGTCACAAGATTGGATTAGTGTAGTGATATTGCTCTTGCATGTCGTAGTTTGTCTTTACCTACTCTCCGACTTCTTAGTCTTATGCAATTTGTTCTATTAATCCTATACAAAAGTTTCACTTTTTCATCAAATTTAAAGAATGAGAATTAATCTTTATAGTTTTAGTTTAATTTGTTTTAACTTTTAATTAACAAAATAATTGCTAAAATAATTTATGTAAATTATAAACAAAAAAAATTCTAGAACCATCAAAAGAAACCAAATTAGACAAATAAATAAAACATGTATTCTTACCATAATACATAAGTTCTAAAAATATTGGTATAGAAACTAAATAAATAAACGATTAAATGTAAAATATTTGAATTTTAAAAAATATACATATAGTAAAACGCTATATAATTTTTTTATTTCAAATTCGTACTAATAAGTTGCAAGTAAAGAATTATGAACTAATTACGTATATTTTCAATAATGAAAAGAAAAATCAACAAATTAAAAAGCTGGTGAGAGAAATTATAATTATCCATTTATTTTTTAATTATTCAATATTTCATTATTAAGTTATTACTATGTTTTATTATAACATATTATTTGTTCTAAAAAATTATAGAACTGTATATTTATTTATTAAACGTAAAAAATTGTTTTATTGCATCTCTACTGCACAAATATTTATTACAATTGCAAGAGTCCATGCTATGCTAAGTGTAGCTATTCCATCACCATGTAACCATTTTTGTAGATATAGTGCGTGTTTGGCAAAAATAGCTGTTAGCTGGAAGCGGGTAGCGGTTAGCTGGTAGCGGGTAGCGGGTAGCGTGTAGCGGGTAGCTGGTAGCGGGAAGCTGTAGCTTTTATTTGTTATATGAGTGTTTGGTAAAAGTAAATATATTTTTTAAGGGTAATTATGGAAATTGATTTCAAAAGCTAAGTAGCGTTTTGTTAAACGCTACATGAAGTAGCTTTTAGATTTGGAGCGTTTTGTTTAAACTAAAAGCTAAACGCTCGTACTGCCAAACGAAGCTTTTTGTTTAAACTAGAGCGTTTTGTCAAAAGCTAAAAGCTAGAAGCTCCCAAACGCTTCCAAAAGCTCCGTGTCAAACACGCCCATAGTGTTTCGTCCCTGGAAATCTAGAATGTACAACACCAAATGCAAATATTTAGTAGATTTATCATAGTAACTACATATACGTAAAAGTTACAATAATTTGCTTATAACATCCTACCTCCATTGGCACCTTACGATCAGTAAAAAAAGAAAACCCAATCCTCTAATCATTTAGAAAATCTTAGGTAATTACACATCAGTAGCAAGATCTAAACTTTTACAAATGAAAGTGAAATAAGATGTTAAACTTCCTTAATAAATTGCTAAATAGCTTATTTTAACACTCTTAAATTCCTTTTTTAGGTTACTTTCTCGTAATGTAACCTTGATAAACACAAATAGCAATCTACTTTGATTTCAAACTTACCCAAAAGTCATTCATTTAAACTTCTTAACTTTCCCACATACAACTATTATAAGGCATCCAGTCGGAATTAACCTGACAGGCTTGTTTGAAACTTCAACACCATGGGAACTGATCTGAACTGGTACCCTCTCAGCCCACACAATTAGTGAAGACAATTAGGCCTATATCCAAGACATCTCAATCCAAACATCATGATGTGTTGAAAAGCACGCTACTGGAATTATATGATCCTATACTATAAGAAACGTTTTTATAAACAACTATGAAACAACTATCAAACAATTATGAACACAATAGTTACATTTAGACTCTTTTAATGTTTTAAAGTTTAGTTTTAAAACATAATTAGAATGCAAAAAATAACAACCCAAACACCAAAAAGCATCACCGAAACTATTATTTATAACGACTAACGATTTATTTTAGAATGCTATTAAGAAAAGTTGATCAATCTGACATCAATGTAACTACTTTATAAGAAAAAATATGAACTAATATGCCGTAACAGTACCCAACTATACTAAACATAACATATAATTAGACCTCCATATTATAGCAATGCAATCTTCAATCATATTGGATCCATCAACCCACACATAAGGGTGTTTACTCATTGCCATTCTGTCTTGAACATCAAATTCCTCCATAAGAGTTTCACCAACTACATATGTATGGGTATTTACTCATTTCCATATAGTCGCATATATCAAAATTTGGCAGGCGTAAGTTTTGCCTAAATAAACTATTAACCTAAAAATCAAATTGGATAAAATAATATGTATCATTGCTGTTGGGTTCCAAGTATACCAATTATTTTCTTCATTGTCAATGCTTGAAAAATAAACAGAACTAAGAAATATATCTGACCCATATGCATCCAGTTTTTGGAAGAAAAAAAAATTATAAGAAAATAAAACCCAAATATGAATACCATAAAAGGCCTTCAACACCTCCTTCTAAAAGAGAACTTTTATACTTGATAGAAGCAAAAACAATACCAATGTCACTAACTCAAAGACTTCACTGAAGATAAGATGTTTACTTACATTCTATAATTTTAATTCTTTGTCTCCTTCATCCATTTTTACTTACAATAGCCACAAAATTACAAATTCTAAAGAATATCAAACAATATAAAAAACCAATTATATACCTTCAATAGTCAGTCTAATGGGGAATGTGTTTTCTGATAAAACATAAACATAGAGACCTACGTGGGGTATGTGTGTCTTCCAGATTCTACATTAGAAAGACAACACCAGTAGCGGGGTGGATGCTTAAATCTAGGGTTTTTAGAGAGGCAAAAGGATGAAGAGGGGCTGTAGAGTAGTATTGAGGTGATATTCGGCAAGAAATAAAAGCAAAAAACAGCATTTGTCACTTCTATAAATCTAGAGAGAAATAGAGATGAATTATATGCTACTCCGACAGTGGAAATAACAGTGCACAGTGGTAACAACATGAATAAGCAGGGGTGGTGCTACGGTTTTCAATA